TCTGTCCCAATCATTCAAAGCTGTTGTACAGCACAGAATCAAGGTATGTTCATCATATATAGAGTGTTGACCCGTCCCGCGGGCCAGGTTATTGGGGAGACCCGAGGAGGCACCTCCTGAAAGATCAATGGGGGTGAGAGAGAAAGGAGACCAGGCACATAAGGGAAGACAGAGGCAGTCTGAGTCGCGTCAAGGTCTCGTTTATTGACTGGGTATTGAGGCTTATAAGCAGGGCTTCAGGCAGGGAGGGGGAGCAGAGGAAGCAAAAGGAGAGAAGAATGAAAAATTCCTAAGGAAGGGTGAGGTCGCTTTGGTCCCAGGCCCCTGCAGCTGGCTGATTAGCAGGTACTCCAGGAAGTTGTACTGCCCGCGGTTAGGACAGGAACCTGTTTTTGCAAGGTTTGATAAAGTAAGGAAGGTCACACAAAATTCAAGACACAGCTGTCTGGAGTCGGTCTCCAACAGAGTGTCTTTGTACATTAGCATAATCATCCTCTCCAAGAAATGGGTCTTGGGAAATTACAATACCTCTAGTCCTACTTCCTTATTCAACAGTCCTAGCCTCATCTTTCCACCAAGTCCTCCACTGTAATTGAGGACCAAGCTCCAATACTGCTGTAACTAAGTCTTTTCAGTCTTGTGGGACAACTCTGTTACTATTTGCCCATGAATCTGCCTCACAAAAGGGAATGCATATCATATGAGACTATTGCTTCCTTAAGTCAACTCTAACATTTCTACAGGATTCCAATGAGCTCTGACACAGCTTTGAGGCTATCTGTCATTTGGTGATTGTTCCTGTGTGGTGACTGGATAAATTAAGGTTGTTTTTTTTATATATATATAATCTTAGACTGCTCCTCTCTAATTTCATAATGTAATGATGAGGTTGGTTCTCATCTAAACTCCTCTGTCTGTATCTGAATATTTTTATTATCTGTTTTAATAACTTCTTTCAATGCCTGTAACTTATCAGTCAAAAGTTTATTATCTTCTTTAGTAACAATTTGTAGGACTTGTATATTATCAGTACTAATCTTTTCTAAGGCTTGTATCTTGTGAATGGTGTTTTCAAGGTTGGTTTCTCATCAGTCCATTTCTCCTATTTGGCACTGATATCAAAGCAATTTTTAAGGATAAAATACAAATTGCCAGACTGATAATATGACCGACATTATTTAATTGTTTATCTCATTTATTTTACCATATGTATCCCGTCCATAGTAGGAAGACAGGGCCTCGTTCTCTGCATTGTGATCATTCCCATTTTTAACATAGGGAAGGTTTTAAGATTATCCTTTCCCTTTTTTATTTTTTAAATTTGTTTATTTATTTATTTTAATTAATAAATTCATTTAATAGCCTAGTTTACTGTTTAAAAGTTCTCAGGTGTCTTTCCAGTTCTGATGCCTATCCTCTGAAGATTGGGTTGTGCAGATGTAGTGACCATGTCTGACCAGCAGGTGGAGCAGGCGCAGCACCAAGGCAGCATTGCTATGGGAGCTCCAGGTGCAGAAGCTGCAGTGACTGGGCACTCTAGGAGTGCTTGTGCTCTGGCTGGCGCCCCTGGTGACCGCCTTGGGGAAGTTCGGCAAAGCAGCTGGGCTGGCCTCTACCCTGGCACTTGTGAGTGCCAGGTAGAATTGGCCGGAGAGGCACAGCTATGGTACAAGGACCTTGCTGGAGGCAACTACAGTAGCGGTGGGGTGTGGCTTTCCTTCCTGTCGCCAGGGGCTTGATAACAGCTGTAGGGCCCTGGCCCCCCATTTTTGGTAGCTGCCGCCTTGCTTGCCGACCTTGACCAGATGTCCTCCCTATGCTGATTCCCTGCCTGTTTCCTTCTCTCTGAATGCTCACCGGAGGTTCTTTGTTTGTCTATCCTGCATTTGGTGTAAACAGCTTAGATGTGAGAATGTAGAACATTCGGTAGCAGACTTCTGCCCTCCGGGGATCCTCCATTGTGCTGTAAGCCTGTATTTAAGGTTTCCTCCCTCTTTCAATAAATGGCATTCCGCATTCTGCTGGGGCAAATGACCCGCTGTTTCTTGTCTCTATTTTTTAATCCACAGCCCCTCACTCAGATGTGGTGATCAGGTGGTGGTAATGCGGGTGCTACCACAACAAACAGCAGCCTCAAAAGTTCCAAGCCCTGAGCCTGTCTCAAGGCCAGCTGAGCTGTCTGGATTGGGAGCCTGGATTGGTTGGAAAAAGCTCCTCAGGCAGGAAAGCAGCCTAGAAGGGGGATGAGGAAATAGTGAAGTGTGCAGGCACTCTGGCTCCCCTTCTCGGGACTAACAATGGCTCTCACAAAGTCTAACAATGCCCTACTTTGAGTGCCAGGTATAAGTGATTTCTTTTACCGTTTATTAATAAACAAATCCTGAGCACAAATATTTAAAGGCAAAAGAAAACCTGAGGCATATCCAAGGGACCACGAAAACATACCACCTTGGTTAGCTTCTCCACTCGAGAAGTCCCTTGCTCCTCACCCCACCTCTTCTCCCCCGATTTTGTGGTCCTAATTTTTTTGTTTTAAATTGTTTTTGAAACAAGGTTTCTCTGTACAGTACTGGCTGTCCTGGAACTGGCTCCATTTACCAGGTTGGTCTTGAACTCAGACCCGCAGGCCTCTGTGTCAGGAGTGATGGAATTAAAACAGCATGTTTCAAACACAGATCTGTGCCTTTGTCTTCCAGCATCTGTTTCCCCAGGACTCTGATGTTACATCATTGGGTGTGGTGGCACAAACCTATAAGCCCAGGATGGGGTGCAGAAGCAGGATGTAGGGAGATGAGGTGGCTAGTCAAAGGCAGTTCTGATTGTTACCAGCTGTCACCCCCAACCCGAGCTGCTTTTCTGTGTAATCTTTTTCCTCTTTTTCTATTCATGATGTGAACTAAGGGGGACACTGTGTAAGGTTATTACATAACATTACAATGATGGAGCAATGGGATCTTATCCTTCTATACGGAAGACTCCAACATGTCAAAGAAAAAGGGTGGCTGGTAAGTATTTGGTTACTATCTTTTGATAAGGAATTAGACTGAGAGACAGATAGGGCATTAATAGCAACATTTGGGGATGTGTCTGTTGAGTGTGTTTCCAGTGAGACAAAATGGAGTAGGGGCAACCCACCTGACTGTGGGCAGGGCACCATGGCATGGCTGAGACCCATCCTTCCAATGTTGCCATGCTTCCCTTCCAAAATGAGCTATTATGCTGCCAACAAATCTTCCCTCCATTTAAATTTTTTTCAAGTTTGCATCACAGCAATGAAGAAATTGGTTAATCCATGGAGGAGTGTGTGTGGACTCCTCGGCCTCAGTGGACCAATGGCCATTTCTGCCTCTTCAGATTCACACTTCCAGAGTTTCCCTATCTCAGCAATGTGGGTGTCAGATCTATGGGGACTGACTGCCTTAGTCTCTGGGTTCAGCCTTTGCATGTCCAAAAGGGCAGTGACAATTGGAATATGAATTCCCGGCTCCCTCCTTACAGAGCCACTGCTGGGCAGGATGCAAGTTTCAGCCCAGAATGAAAACTCTAAAAACATCAGTCAGTGAGATGGTTCATTGTGGGTAATGGGACCTGCCTCTCTCTAAGCTAATGAATTGAGTTCAATTCCCCAGAACCACATTGTGGAAGAATAGAACCAAATCCTCACACACACAAGCAGCTCAGGGTCACAGGTCAGACCGAGTAAGGCCCAGCGACCAGTGATCCCCTAGGTCCCAGTGAGGCCCTGTGCTTCAGCTGCAGCACCAGGAAAAAGAAAGCAAAGCAAAGCAAAGCAGCCTTGGAGTCACCCATGTGTTGTGAAAGTTTCCTCTGAGATGGAAACATTTCATCCTACAGGGCAGCTGCTTAAGCAGGAAGCTAAACAACTCAAAATAACTTCAGGAAGTTCCTGAAACCAACCAGATCCCCCAATCCCCTCTCAGCCAGGGCAAGCAGTAAGTTACAAAGGAGACTCAGAGACCAGACCAGCTGCCTGCAAGAAGTTTAGACCAACTGAGGCACCTGGAAAAGACACCCTTCAGCTTGTGGAGCTGCCTGTAGGCTGTGCCATGTTCCCCAGGATCCCAGCTCTGGGAGCTGTCACTCATGCAGGGGTGGGCTTTGGTGATGAGCTGTCTTGGAGTCATTTCTGCTCCTGTAAGTAATTCTTGACCCAAACATTTTCTTGTAAGTAACTCCAATATAAGACGGATTGGTTCGGCAAGTTGGACTTTGGCCAAGGGGTCCCAATCTACAGTGAGCAGATGTGTATGTTGAGTCTCCCCAGGAAACATTTTGTCACACAGCACTACGGAGGCCAGGCCTTGGCAGAGCAATGGATCCCACCGTTGGTGTTTAGCTGGTCACATTGAAAAACAAGTATTTGGGGAAAAAACAATGAGTTTATTATTCCACATGTGTGTTGAACATGTGTATGTGTCCCCTCTGGGGCACAGTGAGTTCAGTGCCTCCCATATAGAAATATCAGGAGGCAGAGACGTGTGGTGAGGGTTGATGGCCCCAGGACAGCACAGGCTGACACTTCCAAGTGTAAGGTCATAGGTTATGATGTCAGAGGAGGGATGGGTGTGGGCGGCCAATAGGGATTAGGAATCACAGGTAAATGGGTTCATCTGAGAGGACCAAGCCCTCCAGACAAAAGGCTAAGAAGAGCCCCAGCCCTAACACCCAAGCCAGGGTGACAGGGACAAACATATGTGCGAATGAATTTATAGTGATTAAGTTCACGTTTTCCAACACGCTGAAGATCCCAAGTGTTTCGTCTCTCTTAAATATGTCTTTAGTCGTCACGTCCAGACATCCTTTAATGCTAAAATTGGCATTAACTCCACCTAGAAGATGAAGATCCAGTCAGGTTCAAAGGGAAGGAAGGGATAGTTCAGGAAACCTAAAAAAACCTCATACCTAGGAATCCAGGCTCCAGCCCTCTTTCTATGGATGCAGGAGCCCAGGTCCTGAATTTTTCCCTCAGTCCCAGGGTTCTAGACTCCATCCACACTCCCTCTGCTACAGCAGTGAGGGCCTCTGACCTCCCCACACACCCAGGGTTCAGTCCCCATCCCTCCTGCTGAGTCTCTGGAGTCATGGCCTCTGTCTCCCTCATCCTGGGGATGCAGCCTCCAGCACTCACCTCCTTCAATGGCAATTTCACCGTCATAACAACCAGTATCCTTTGGACAGAAGACAAAGTTTTTGCGGCAGGAGCCCCAATAGTGCAAACAGACGGGACACCTGTTGTTTTTTGACTGATCGGAGGCTGAGGAGAGAGGAGGAGGTGGCTGTACAGTGTGCTCTCAGCTGCAGCCCCAGACAGATTGCTCAAGTCTGTGTGCCCAGATCCCATACTTGCAATATGAAGGCCCCTAAGGAGGACTCTGGTGGTGTTATCGCTGTTGCACAGATCAGCATGACAGGTCTCGTGATACATGGCAGCCAAAATTCCAGGACCATAAGAATACATAAGGACAGTGCCGTTATCAGGATATATACCCACACCCGAGTAATCATACATACGGATATTGTGGACATCCTCATCCTTAGAGATGCCTGTGCCTTTGCTCCCCACTAGGAGAGATTTGGGACCTAAGAGAGACAAGAGTGAAAGCCAGGCTTGGATGGGGAGGTTGGCCAGGCCTGGGAGACCACTTCTTGTGTCCTCTGATGTTCCCAGTCACAGGGAGAGCACAATGCCCAGGGACAATGGGACACAGCATGTCCTGTGTCAGCCAAAGCCTGCAGCACAAGCCTGGCTCCTTCTGCCCTGCCCCTGCACATCCTGTTGAACAGTCTCCACAGTCTGCCCTGAGCCCCTCCTACAGGCTGCAGCCTCACTCTGCTCACCATCTCCTCTACCCTGCTGGATTTGTCTGCACACTCTGCCCTTCACACCCACAGCTGGCTCCCTGTGGTCTGCTTCTCTCCTTTCCCACTTCCCTGTAAAGCTGCAAAAGGACTCAGTGGCTTAGCAGAGCCAGAAACAGGCTCTCAGCATCCTTCCTTCCTGTTTTCCATCCTCCCTCTTCTCCTTAATCCCTCCCTCCCCCTTTCCAGCACTCTTCCCCAGTCCTGAGTCTCATCCAGTCCAGGCTCCTCTGGAACTCCCTATATAGCTGCAGGTGAAGTCGACTGTCTCCACCCACAGCTCCAAGCTGCCATTACAGACAGGTGCCACCACACCCAGTTCACATGGTAGTGGGGCGAAAGTCCAGGGCTTTCCCCCTAATTACCACAGGACTACATTATATATTCCCATCATGACCTAGATAACAAGGCACAGAGGAAGAGCCTAGGCAGTAGGGGAGCTGAGCAGGAACTCCACGGCACAGAATCCAGTGCAGGGCTGTGCTGGCCAGTATCGGAGTGCGGCCCTCCATCACATCCCACATACCTACGTCTATTAGCACAAGGGTCTCATAACATGCCTCCTTAGGTCCAGCAATCTTGGTTCCCTGTGAGGTCCAGTCAACAACTGTCTTAGGGAAACCGGAGCCAAATGTCACCATGACTCCCTCCTTACAGATAAGAGTATCTGTGGAGAGGAAAATCACCAGGGTTTGTGAGAGACAGGGAGCCACAACTGATGCTGTACCCATTGCTCTTCTTCTACACCCTTACCTGAGTAGTGGGTGAAGCCCAGCAGGAAGAAGAGCAGGAAATACTGGATGCAGCAGGCTGCCATGGCTTCTCTTCTGCTGGGAAGAGCTGGTCGGGACCTGGGAACTGATGGAAACAGGAGACAGTTCAGACAGACAGACAGGGATTAACCCTTGGCCTGTGCCAACTTTAAGGTATGCCAGAGCGTGAAGCTAGTCTGTCCTGAGTTGCTTGGGAGTTACAGCAGGCTTACTGTGCCTCATGTTCTATGGTTGCAATTTTCAGACTCAGCCATGGATTCCCAACTCCAAGAATCCAGCAAGTCTGCTCCTTCAGTGTCTAGATGGATTCTGGGTCACGGAGCCCTCTGCCTCAGGACTTCAGATCGTAAGCAGGTTCTTCTCAAGGTCTCAGGGTCTCAGCTCTCAGCACCCAATCTGCCCAGATCTTGAATCTGAGGGACCTGGCTTGTCTATCCTAGGAATGTGACATTCAGTTTCTGCTCCTCCCACCCCACAGGACCCAAGATTCTGGTCACTCATCTTCCTTCTTCAGGCCTAAGTGTACAGTACTCAGCACCCTGCCATGAAGGAGTAGCAACCGTGGGCTCCTCCTGCTGTCATGGCTGGCTGTCTAGTACCCAGATGCCACACAGAGACACAAGACCCAGGAAAACAAACCAAGCTTTCTAAAACCAGAGTCCCTCCCCCATCCCCCACCCCCCCACCCCGCATCCGATTCGGGTTCCCAGGCCCTGTTCTCTCTCAGACCCAAGACTTCAGTCCCTGTTTATCAGACTCAGGCATCCATGCTCCGGCCCAGGAGTCCAGGCCCAGCCTCTTCCCTCAGAGGCATGACTGCCTGTTCCCTTCCCTTACTTCTTCCTGTTTATCCTCACTGGCTTCTGGGATCTGGCCTTTCCCTGTTCTTTTTCTCTTTTAAGCAGCAGAATCTTTCTGGTTCCACTCACCAGATCTTGGGAGGCGTGTCCCGAAATGTTCCAGTCTCACCTCTGTCTCCTCCCAGGGTCACAGGACGAGGTAAGAGAAGACACTCGAAGTCCCATTGGCTTATGAGAATCCTTTGCAAACTTCATTGGGTAAGCCTGGAGAACGGCTGCACCCTATTGGTCCCCAGAGATGCCAATTACTGGGCTCTTCACAAGGCATGCATGCGCAGAAAATGAGTGTTGGGCAACGGTCAGTGGCAGTTGCTGCTTAGGTCATCCTCCAGTTGCGGGGTCACATGGTGTCCTGGAGTGCCACGTGGTGGAAAGTCCGTTGCCCTGTCACTTAAAATGCTTCTAAATTGCACCTATGAGCAGGGAGCCGGTGACAGGACAGGTCGCTATCACAGATATTACCCTCGTCATTACTGTGTGGGTGACCACTCAGATTATACACATTTGTCAGTTCTTTTATTACATTTTAATATATCTTGTGTGCATGTGTGTTTGACAATCGTATGTCAAGGTGCACATGACAGGGGACAATTTGGGGAGTGAGTTTCTCCTTCCACTGCATAGCCCCAGGAGTCCAACTCAGGATTTCAGGCTCGTGGATAGGTCCCTTTACCGGTGGAGTTGTTTTGCTGGCCCTTATTTCTTTTCTTAGAAATAGTAACATATTAACTATATACAAAGTAACTAGTTTCGAAGCAAAGCGTTTCTAAAACCATGTAACGTACTTCAGATGTTACATTTTGAGGCAGAGTCTTCCAGCCCAAAAAGGGTTGTAGTGTTTTTGTGTAGCTGAAACTGACCTTGACCTTCTGATCCCTCTGACCCCTCTTCCTGAGTCCTGGGTTACTGGTGGGTGCCACCATTTATGTGGCACTGGGGATGGGAGCATGCTAGGCAACACTGTTTCAGCTGAGCTCCAGCCCAGAGGCCCTCGTTCAGGTTTATGACTTCTGTTCCCTTCCACCTTCCCTCAGTCCTCTACTTTCATGTCCCTTCTGCCTAAATTCCACACAGGGAGGACACCTGTGCCCTTTGTCTTCCTGACTCTGCTGACTCTGCTTTACTTACACAGGGTCCTGAGAAGGGCAGGGTTTTGTTGATAATGGCCCCTTAGTACGGCACTGCACACTGCACGCTTCTTCATCGGTTGGTGGACACACCACCTTTTTCTTTTATTATTGGGTCGTTGGGTATTGGGCAATCGGTCATCTTTCTCTGTGGCTGCTTCTTGTTGACAATGGGGACCCAAGGAGGCTGGGTTGCTGGTCAAGGCTTGGAAAAGCAGGCTTTTTCACTAGTTGTAACATTGGGAAGTGTTGTCTGTGAGCCTTGACCAGTATGTAGATTCTGAGGAATCAGCTAGAGCTGGTGCTGGAGTTGTCTGTTGTTGATTTATTGGGACAGATGGACAAGGGACAGTAAAGTTAAGTAGTTTAGAGAAAAAATTTTATCTTGGATGTCAATTGAAACTTTTAGGCCCATGGTCCTTGTAGTTGTGAAGGGGAATCCTAAGACCGGGGAGAGGGGAGAGACCCCACCTTAGGCATAAGCAGTAGGCAGGGAAACTTGGCTCTTGGATGGCAGGATACTTACCTGGTGTCTGTTTGAGAGTTCTTGAGAAGAGCTAGGACAGTTAAGACTGGCCATATAAGGTCAGTTAGGGAACACTTGTCATCTGAAAGCTGGGTCTGGGTGTGCTGGGGAGAACACACTTCTAGAGGCTTCAGTTACAGCAGAAGAATCTTTCCTGGGGTGTTCAGGTGGGTCCTGAAATGGAGATATTTTGGGAACATGGGTGATTGGGGAGGGTCATGGCAAACGGTGATGGGGACTGTCTGTAAAGGTTGAGAGAACTTGGCTTTGCTTCCCAAAGAGGGACTTGGAGGATCAAGGGGACAAACAGTCAGTAATGGGGGTTGGGCATTGGCAACTGGGGTGATTGGGGGGGACTGTGGTTAAAGGAGGGATTTGAAGAGAGGCACAAAGAAAGCAGTGGGAGGTGATGAAGGAGGAATCAGTGAAGATGAGGAGAGAGTTTGTTGGATGCCCTTAGCCCAAGTGAGTGTGTGTTGGAAAGGGGATGGCTCAGGCTACATCTTGTAATTGAAAGTGTAGAATTTGCTCAGAGTGTTTGATGTCTGAGATGTCTAGACAGTTAATGAATTTTGGGGAGGCAGTGGATCTGTGGCAATTATTTGGGCAGAGGAAAAGTAAGAGCGTGAGGAGATGAGATTCATTTTGTTTGGGAATAGTTGTCTGTGGGGAATGGGTGACCGTGAGGGAACAGGCATCAGAAGGTGAGGATGAAAACACAAAGTCGGGTTAGCAGAGTGTCCTGTGTTGAAGGAGGGTTAGGTGTGTTACTGAGTTGTATAGTCGGGTAGCCTGGAGGAAAGTGGGGTGAGCTGTAAGGGATGAAAAAGCAGCTTGATGACTGTCATGTTGGCATGATTATCATCTTTACTGATACAGCCGACAGATAGGAAGGAGCTGCCACCCATATAAAAAGTGCAGGCAGAAGTAGCTGGATGACCCTCTTGTCTATGAGAGGGATGGGGAGGAGGTCTTTAAGAGTTTTGGACAGGAGTGCAGAGGATCTGGGGAAGGTTGAGTCAAAGGGATGTGTGGATGGGTTGAGGGGAGGATGGGAAAGGAATGTGAGTGATGTGTTAATGCTAGAAGTTTGGAGGGATGAAATCTGAGATGTGGAAGGAATTGGATATCCCCTCTAAGTTAGGACTTGGGGGCAGGGAGACATTGTTGGGAATGGATTTTGAGAGGGGACCCTAGAGTTTGTTAGATTTAGAGGTGGGCAGAGAGGCAAGAGTGTAGAGACAAAGAGCTAGGCTGTGGAGGGTCTGTCTAGTTTTGGAGAGGTAGGAGACACGGGCAATGGTCAGTCTAAAACAGTTTGTTTTTGTTAGAAGTGATTTGTTTTGGAAGTATAAGTTCCAGATAGATCTTGGAGGCAGAGGGCTGGAGCTGAAAGGAGAGCGTTTTAAGTTTTGGGAATTGTTGTTGTTGTTGATGATGGGGGGAAGGAGGAGGTCCAGAAGCAGCTTGGTGTAGGGAATGCATTAGAAGTGAGTATTTAGGAATGTAGGAGTGGAGGAAGTTGGCCATGAGGGCAGAGATAAAGGATGGAGAAGAGCAAGGTGGTGTTCAGTGATGTGTTATGGGTGGGGCTGAGAGAGAAATTGAGATAGGTGACTTGGGGAGAGGAGACTGAGCTTTGGAAGTTGAAATCTGGTGACTCCTGGAACTGAGGATGCGGAGGAGTGAGGCAGTGTCAGATTGGCCGTCAGGGAGGGAAGGGCTGCAGAGGAGGAGGAGGCCGTCTACATCATAAAGAGGCGGGAGGGGAAAGGTGGAAGGCAGGGAGCAAGTGCCTGGCTGAAAAGGTGGAGACTGCCTGAACCCTTCGGGGAGGATTGTCTGGGTTGGTTGCTAGGACTGTTGAATGTCAGGATCCATCTATGTGAAGGCAAAAAGGTCTTGGGAGTGGGTGGAAAATCCCCTTAGGTGTTTTGACTGTTCACATGGGAGTATTGTAGGGTGAGGAGATGGGGCATAGAAATGATGGGTTGGAGGCCTAGGCAGAGGCTGATTAGGGAGTATTGGGGTTTGGAGATGTAGGCAGAAGGGTCTTTGAGTATGATGTGCATCGAGAGAAACTAGGGTTGACTAAAGAAGTAGGCAGTGGGCAGGGGAGGTTTGGGGATTTTGGAGAGTGGGAGAGTGAAGAAACAGAGGCCAAGGAAAGGACAAGTGGGACAGGAGTGTCTTGGGAGCTGTCGTCAGCACAGAAGGCAAAGTTTATTCCTGTTGGAGAAGACATCCCTTCCTAGTAAAGGGATAGGGCCTGAGGAATGAGCAGAAAGGAGTGGGAAAGGGACAAACCTGGGAAGGCGCAAGTTAGGGGGCATGTGGAGCGGACTGGAGGGGTGGGGTCCTCCCTTGTATTGGAGCAGGGCCAGTGTAAGACTCGGAGGAACTGAGGGTTTTTTTTAGTCTCGTCTCGAAATGTTGTTTGGATTTACAAAGCTTAATTTACTTTCTCAGACCCATAAATCACTTAAGCTTTCATATTTTCAGACTTCAAATTATTTTCTTATCTACATCGC